CTGAGGATGAACCGGAAGCACCTGCTCTCCGTCCACGAGTCGGGGGACGATGGTTCTGTGTCGGTGAACGTCTCTGTCGACGTCGTGGAAAGGTCTACCCTCGTGCATCCTCGGGAAGTAGAAACGGTTTCCCGTTACTGTTGAACCACTCATAATAATCCTCAGCATACATCAAGAAGTCAGTAAAAATGGGCTCTCTACATGGAAGGCACCGATGTCGATCCTCCCACAACACGACCCACTCATGATGCCTCACCAACCAATCTGTATCTATCTTGCCGCGTCTATCTAAGCTATGCAACTCGTCCATATTGCGAGGTGCTTCCGGAATTGGTTGAAAACAACTAAATTACCGGAGCACGCGATCAGTGGAGTGCCACTCGACGGTCGCATAACAGATTAGAGGGACCATCTCCATCCAAACATCTGATGGACCCCTCAACTCAGGTAGGATCACCGCCCTCACATCATCAGTAGAATATGACACTCATTCAAACTAAAAACAAATAATATATATTTTTAATCAAAATAATAATATAATTATATAATTATAATCTAAAATCGAGTTTTAAACATTAAAATTCATACATGTGTGCCAGTCTTCTGATCGATTAGCACCCTAATTTTTTCTAAATAATCAGGTAGCTCCTGATGATTTTTCCTATCAGTAGACCACCTATTCAAGGAAAAAAAATTATTATACGCTGTATAAAATTATTACTATACAAAATCAGTTTTATAATTACCTCAGAAGTAGTGGAAATACGAATGTGTTCTTCACAACGGGACATAAAAAGGGCAATCGATACCATGCCCAAGACTGCAGCAGTAGGAGACATCCGCCGATAGCATTACGCCTGTAGTCAGTGGCTCCACACATCTCCCTGTACAACAAAGCCAAAACTGTCGAGCCCCAACTGAATGATCCGGCGAGACGAAAGTCGCTAAGATGTCGCAACCACATGCAGTGAACTAGGTTGCGCGATTTGTCTGGCATCAGCAACCCTCCTATCAACTGCAATATGCATGCATGTGTATACATCATAACCTCATCCTCAGAGGCGTCTGCGCTCAACTCCCGAAAATTGGCATCTAACCAATTTACGATATCCTACCTCCGATAAAACTTTCCGGGACACGTCCTAGATTATCCCTACACAAAGTAATCCAAGAACTGGAAGTTATCCCTGATATCACATCTCCATCCACCGGAAGCCTCAGGTGCATAGAAAACATCCTCAAGCGTGATCGTGCACTCTCCGCACGGAAGATGGAATGTGTGGGTATCCGGCCTCCACCGCTCTACTAAGGCAGAAATAAGGTATGGTTCTATCTTACAGTGTAACCCCCTAGACCGATGTGGGTATATCGATCCGATCCGGGAAGTCACATTAGGGCCACTGGAGCGACCCACTGTAAAAATAGTGGAAAATTTAAAACTTTTATTGAAACGTGTAACTTATAAAATCATTTTTCACTATTTAAAAATAAAACATATTTCCAGACTCGTATATAAATCAAAATACAATTACATGCCCCCTAATCACATGTACCCTACTCTGTAACAACGCCGGACGAACTCCCTTACTGAAGTCGATAGATGCACTGGTACAATTCTTTCAACCTGAAAAGGTGAGTAATAGAGTGAGCTTTGGAAAGCTCAGTAATACAGAACTACCAGATGATGCTGATGAACGTGCAGATACAGATAAATATTTATTTCCTTATTGCTTATGAGCATTTACATATTTTTATGCTGAGCAGAGATTCTACTGATATTTCGGGTGGTAACGAACAATGAGCTTTCAGTTCAGAGAAATATTTCGGATGACTGAGTTGAGGAGATCATAATAGGTTTTCTAGTGTGTTCCCAAAAATCATGTAACTTTTCAGATCTTTTTAAAACATATATATATATATATACCCCCATCCCATCACAACATAATGTGTAGGTTCCCCGGAACCATACACCCAACCCAACACAACATATAAGGCCTTGAGCACAAAGTCGAGGTACCTGCGGAAATTCTTCCTTCAACAATACCCCCCAATTAAAACATTTTTCCGTCATTAAACGAAGATATCAGAAATCAAAACAGAATTCAGAACATATATCAGAACAGAATCCAGATCAGAAATCAGAACAGAATTCAGGTAATTTATGAGAACAGAATTCAAGTCAGAAATCAGATAAAATATTTATATGATTAGGGAACACACCAGAGTTTACATATATTATTCAGAGATGCTAAATAATCTTAGCAGGCAGAGAAACACAGATTTTCAGTATACCGATAAAATACCGGACGTTAGAAATACTATTGGAAAAGTTCAATAACTGACAGAATCATCAGTTATTCAGAATGTGAATTATCAGGATCATATCTTATTTGGACAGTTTTCAGAAGTTGTATGTAATCAGAAGGGTATTCAAAATACTTTACGTCCATTTCAATTGATCGGATAATCGAACAATCTTGAGAACGAAGATTCAGAATCTTAATAATCTATGTCGACTGGTCAATTTATTTTCCTTTCAGGGTATTTACTCGTTAATACCACAAATTCTTGTCCATAGATCATCTTCAGAATCATCGCTGAATAGATCTTCCAATGGTCTTTATTTCGTTTCCAAGCTTCCACGATATCATGACATACTGACATGCTTGATTTGTAGTTCATGTTCCATAAGGACATTACATCTTATAAACTCATCAGAATTTCCAGACTTATCCAATCCACTTACTTAATCCTCAGTCATTGAGGTTACCTAGTTTATTTAACAGTCATATCCATTCCAGTTACTTCGGGATTTTTTTTCAGAGTAATTCAAACGTTCCTAAATTTCAGACACATGTTTCACTTCCGTTCCATTCAATTTGGTCTTCGTGGTTGATTTGTCGAACAAACGTCCAATTCCTAGTACTGAATACGATCTAGATCTGAGCTGAACTGAATACTTCCAAAATTTGTCATCGAGCCAAACTTGGGAAGACGAACACATGTTCCAGTAATATCTATGTCATTCAGGTATTGACATAGCTTTAGGGTTGATGCACTCACTTAAATTATTTTTCATTACCTTTAAAGGTAGTCCAATACCTATGCTTACTTGGATTCATTAATTAATCCAAGACATTTACTTAATTTAGGCCATAAGGGTATTTTGATAATTTTGATGTTCAGTTTTATTCCATTCATTTTAGAGCTCGAAGATATCCAATCATTCCTGAGCTTGGTGACATTCTTGAGTCATTTCCATTACAGGGGTATTTTGGTCATTTTACAGATCCACGGTATTTCAATCTTTTTCCTCCATTCGGTCTTATTATTTAATTCCAATTTATATCTTTTTCCTCAATCCGATCTTATTATTTAATTCAATCTCATCATTTGTTTCAGTCTTTTCGAATAATTCTGACAGCAGAATACCCCCGATAAATTATTCTTCAGGTATTTACTCATTTCTCGGATATTTTCGGGTCAAGTGCCTTCTCAGATTTTATAAACGGAATATCATGAATTTTCCTGCTAAGTCAGGATCTTAACAATCAAATCTGTACTTAATCGAGTTAAGTACGAATCCTCTAAGTATTTTCTCATTCAGGGTTAACTCAGACTATTCGATCTCTTAAGGGCATTTCTGTAATTTCTTAACCAAATAATTTCGATATTAGCTTTTAACGAAAATAATATAATTTAGAGATCCTATGATTAATTGCTTTCCCGAACCTTCTCTGATCTTGAAGTGATTCCTTAACAGACTTCTAGTATCTTGCATAAACCCTCTTGGTGTTAAAAACCGGTTATCCATAATTTCCAAGTAAAACTAACATTTCTTTATGCACATCAATAGTTTTAGCAGATCAATAATTCATTTCAAATTTATTAATCCACTTCTAGAGACAATTCTTATCATTTTCCACCATAAGGGTAATTTCGTAATTTTACCTAATTGAAATATTCTCATAATTTATCATCTAAATACCTTTAATGAGATAAATTATAATCTACAATCCATGGTTGATTCTTTTATCACTTAATTTCAGAACTTGTAATTTAATTCCAACTGTCCTCCAATTTCTTATAATAGTCATCTGAGTCATATTCAGTTATCTATCTTCTACCGTATTCGTATCTAGTGTACATCTTTATTTATTACACATATAAGACCAAACATTTCCATTCATGCATTTACCAATACCAACATGTTCTATAAAGCATAAAGAGGTAGTAAAGTATTACCTCAATTTTTGTGCCATACTGATCGACCATATAATTTCCATTCGAATGTCCTCGATCTTTAATTCAACTTCCAATATTTTTCTCACGATCCAGGCCATCAAAATTACTAACTCGTATCTAAATAATTTCCATCGCCATAAAAATAATTTATTAGAATCTAAAAAAACAATTTGGGGAGCCAAATGGTAAAACTAAAAATTGACGATGCTACTAGAATATTTAATTACTAAAATCAGGGCTAAAACAAACTAATCTAAACTATCAAAGCTTGGTTGAAATTATACTAAAACTAGGTGGAAACAAATTAGAATCTTACCGAAAATACATGACTGAAGCCATGATTAGCCCTTTCTTCATATTAACATTTTCAAACCCACGTGCTCCCTGAACCCATTTACATTTATTTATTATTATTTTTCATTACCAGCTCTCAAACCTTATTTGAGATAGCCAAATGATAAACACTAAACCAACTAGGACAAGGAGAAAGCCGTGGAGATTCCTAACTGCGAGACCAACACATGCATGGTCGATAAATGGCGATGGCTTCCCTCCTTGCCTCCCTTCTTTCATGCTTAATAAACCTTATCATTGTGCTCACATGCACACAAAAACGAAGAGCGTTTCATCTTCTCCAAATCACTTCCCAACACTTTGCATTAATTTCAGTTCAAAACAGCAGCACAAAGTATTGGCGGAATCAATTGTTTTCGACATCATTATTAAACTGAGCTCCATCTTTTTCAAAACTTGGCTTATGGTGGAATTTCAAAGACGACCTGCAAGACATGAGAAGCATTGTTACGCGATCTCTGTTGTGTTCCTTGATGCCGAGGAGCTATCTGACGATTAAGAGTTGTAAGATCATTGCGAGCCCAAAAGACATCAAGCAAAGTGTCAAAGATGTACTCTTTAGGGTCATACTGAAACCTCACAACATCATTATGGTTGCTAGTCCCAGAACACACGTAACTCGAATTATCCATGAACCCTTGGGTATACCTGACCTCTATTTTGGTCACACCCGGAACCCTTTGAAACTCCAATTCAACGCCCCAAAAACACCCAGCACCGAACTGAGCAACTGCTGGTCAAGAGCAAAGATGTCGTCATCTGGACCTTTAGCAATGATAGACCTCATAACTTATGGGTTGAGCTTGGTGTTAACTCTGAAGTCGAAGCTTTAAAGGATGTTCATGGGGGCCAATGGAGTGATACAGAGCGTTTGGTTTGAGGGAAAGGAAGAGAAAGAGGAGGAAAATAAGGGACAATGATAATGCAACTTTTCTAAAACTCTTGTTGGAGTTTGAAAATGAAAGCTGGAAGCAATAGTTTCCACGCAATACCATTATCATTCATTTAATCCACTCACCTAATAATTCGTCCATTCTACCTACTCCAATAATTGTTTTAAAACCAATCCTTACACTGTTACACTAAAACAAATCTTTCAGGTATGTAGTTTACCAATTTTTTTTCATATAATAATAATAATAACAATTTCGTATCAAAGAAAATCTGGATAAATCATGTGAATTCTAGAATAAATTAAAATCAAAAAAGACAAAATTATATATAAAGTCCTCAATTTTTTCAAAATTCTTTGTTAACCCAACATTTTAATCAAACTACTTATGTAAATATCATACGAAATTTTAACCCCTAAATTGGGGTGCGACATACAGTGACCCTAATATCTACCTATGTAACCAAATCCAGCCTCTACTAAATACGGCAAGACACGGCTAGGTATCACTAACTTAAGATTCCTAATAAAAGGATCCAATACACGATCATTCTCTAAAAAATAAATAATTACAAAAATTAATTCTTAATCTAATAATCATGCCTTAAATAAATCAACTAATTATTACTAATAATTTAAATTAAATTAAAACGTTAAAATGTTAATGTATCAGCAAAGTGTCGAGATATATGATTTTCATCCAAGCGAATTAGACTGCCTTCCATTATATATCTGCAAAAGAATTATATTAGTAAAATATTAAATAAAGTAAAATACTTAAATAAATTAAATACATAATATTAAAAATATTATAAAATATACCTTAAACAGAGAGAGTATTTGAGAGAATTTGGTGTGATGAAAGTGATTGAGGATGTGAGTATTTAAAGGGAGGATTAGGATGTGGATGGGTAGGTAATTAAAGGTATAGCGTGCGCCCTGTACCGCGCTATACCTCACGTGTCAGATAACCAGGTATAGCGCGGCCCCTGATCCGCGCTATATCCCTACGTGGCGTATAACGCGGATCAGGGGTCGCGCTATACCTACGTGTAATCCATGTCAACGTATAGCGTGGGGCAGGGGCGCGCTATACCCCAAGTGACGCCAAATCAGCATATAAGGCGGGGCAGAGGGCACGCTTTACTGCTACAGGTGTTAGATCGGGAAATATAATCTAATCGGTGTTAGATCAAAAAATATAATCTAACCAGTGTTAGATCAATAAATATACCGATCACCGGTAATTTTTCGAAAATTTCACCCACTAAAGAGGATTAATTATTTTGTTGGTAATACGCTAAAAATGAATTTATAAGTTTTGTCAAAGGATGGTAAGCACTAAATATGTTTAAAATACTACGATTTTAGCATCTGCAATAAAAGGACAAAAGGGTAAAAGAAAAAAACAAGAGGCGGTGAAGCAAACGAAAGCGCCAAATTTCGAGGGTGGTTCTTTACTGTGGTAGATCAATCAACAAACAGCTGGCGTGGCGTCTCGGCGTTGTGGGAATTCTCTGTTTTTCTTATAAGTTTCCCTTCATATCCCATTTCTTAAAACAAAACCAATACTTTTTCTTCGGTTTTTTCGTTTATTGATTCACTGGTTATGCTTAGTTTCACGTTTTAAAGACCAAGAACAACAAGTCCCAGAATCAGATTTTGCATCATTTTCGTTGCGAGTATTGAATTTTTTTCTTCTTTTTTCTTTCTTTCTTTTATGTTATTGTTTCAACGAATTCTGAGATTTCTGTTTTGTTTTGCTATGAGTAAAAGTTTTTTTTAGCTTTAACTTCTCGTCTTGGAATGTTATTTATTGGTTTTTTTTTTATGGATGTCGAAGTCGTTAGAATTTTTATTTTTACCCCTTTGACTTCTGAATTATTTTAATGCAAAACTTGGATTTTCTTTTGGTGGGCTGCTATACTTTTTTTCCCAAAACGAGTTTTATGAATAAGTGGAGGACTAAATGCATTCAAAACTTTGATCTTTGAAGAAAAGAAACAATTCTTTTGGGTGCGATTATCTTGTTTCTCATTGTTTTTTTATATTGCAGAAGGGATTGTGATGGCTGCTAGTATAGCTTATGTTGGTGGCCATTTGCAATATGGGGTGAACTTTTGCAAGGGGCAAAGTTATAAACAAGCTGTCTGGGTTCCTGGTGTCACATTCAATGGATGCCTACAAAGAGAACTCTCATGGTATTTCTTAAGAATATTGGTTTTAGTCTATTTGGTTTCTATATTTGTTGATTAGATGTTAGAGATTTTGTGACGGATCTTAGTTTTAATGTGGAGATTCTGTTTTAAGCAAAGCGTCTAACGATATCCAGGGATTCCTTTGGGAGATTTTTCAGGTCGTGTGAGGTATCCAAGTTTCTGCAGATCCATCGCTGTAATTTGTTCCGATCTCCATCGATCAAAATATTGAAGTCCTCTAGGACATTCACCACGTCGGCTTACTTGAGAGATGGTTCAACAAAGTATTTTGATTTTGCTGTCATTGGCAGTGGAGTTGCAGGCCTTCGTTACGCACTCGAAGTTGCGAAACATGGATCAGTTGCGGTTATCACCAAGGCCGAGCCTCATGAGAGTAATACGAACTATGCACAAGGTGGTGTCAGTGCTGTGCTGTGCCCTTCTGATTCCATCGAGAGTCACATGCGGGATACAATTGTAGCAGGAGCTTATCTCTGTGATGAGGAGACTGTCAAAGTTAGTCTGAATTCTTTCTTTAATCCAAGGTTAGTCTTCATTGAATCCTGACCGAGGTTTCCTTCGACTTTGGTCTATTTGTTCAGATTGTCTGTACAGAAGGACCTGATAGAATCCGAGAATTGATTGCAATGGGGGCTTCGTTTGACCATGGCGAGGATGGAAATTTACATCTAGCAAGGGAGGGGGGCCATTCTCATCACCGAATTGTTCATGCTGCTGACATGACTGGACGAGAGATTGAACGGGCTCTACTCGAGGCAGTCATCAACGATCCTAATATTTCTGTTTTCAAACACCATTTTGCAATCGATTTGCTTACCTGTCAGGTTCGAATTTGCCCCCTTCATTGATGATAAATTTATATTATACCTTTGGCGGAGATTGACAATCAAGACATGTAGAAGATTGTGCTAAAACAAAAGGCTTTGATGATTTGCAGAATGGTTTGGACACTGTTTGTCATGGTGTTGATGCTTTAAATACCGAAACACAAGAGGTGACAACAGGGTCTATCTTAATAGTCGTTCTCGACTTTCATTCAGTATCACGTTTCTGAATATATTCCATATATGCATCTCGAAACCAATTATTCTTTGTTTTTCTTTGCCCTGGATCTTGCAGGTTGTCCGCTTCATTTCTAAAGTAACTTTACTTGCATCTGGTGGTGCAGGACATATCTATCCATCAACAACGAATCCTCTGGTACTCTTTGTTCCTAGTTTATCAATTTCGTCATTTTCCTTGTGTTTTTTTTTTTTTTTGCTTTATTACTTGAACCGATGTTAATTGATTCATTCATTGTAAATAAATGATTGGACTTGCGCCATCTGAGTAGTTCATATTTTTGATATAGGTAGCGACTGGGGATGGGATGGCCATGGCACATCGAGCTCAAGCTGTGATTTCAAACATGGAGTGAGTCATAGGAATCTATTCAATTAATTCTCTTTTTCTAAATGTCTTCTATACAAGATACAATGCAGTAGTATTGGTACCGATAATCCATAATGATGTAAAATCATTATATTAAATGAGATCGTCTTTTGGTTCATGATGCACAAATAGATTCCAGTTGCTGGCTCTTCTTTGATTGTTTTTTTTATTGAACAACTGTTTCTCAGGTTTGTGCAGTTTCACCCAACAGCCTTGGCTGATGAAGGCCTTCCTATCAAGCCGAAGAAAACTCGAGAAAACGCATTTCTTATTACTGAAGCTGTAAGAGGTGATGGAGGAATCCTCTACAATTTAAGCATGGAACGGTTTATGACCTTGTACGATGGGAGAGCTGAGCTTGCTCCAAGGGATGTCGTGGCAAGAAGTATCGACGATCAACTCAAAAAGCGCAATGAGAAGTATGTGTTGCTTGATATAAGTCATAAACTGAGAGAAAAGATCCTCTCCCACTTCCCAAACATTGCGAATGAATGCCTCCTACATGGCCTCGATATAACACGGCAGCCAATTCCCGTGGTTCCTGCTGCCCATTACATGTGTGGAGGAGTCCGTGCTGGGCTCCAAGGAGAGACGAACGTGCATGGCTTGTATGTAGCCGGTGAGGTTGCATGCACAGGCTTGCATGGAGCAAATAGACTTGCTAGCAACTCATTGCTTGAGGCTTTAGTTTTTGCACAAAGAACTGTCCAGCCCTCGATTGATGACATGAAGAATTCTAGTCTGGATCTCAGAGCTTCGAATTTGTGGGCCCGGCCCTTGGTCCCGAAATCACTTGGAAGTGATGTGATGCACAGAATATTGAGGACAACAAAGGAAGTGAGGAAAGAACTACAATCAGTAATGTGGAAATATGTCGGGATTGTCCGATCGACAACAAGATTACAAGAAGCCGAGCAAAAAATCAGTAAGTTGGAGGCCAAATGGGAAACGTACTTATTCGAGCACGGGTGGCAGCAAACAATGGTGGCACACGAGGCTTGTGAAATGAGAAATCTCTTTTGTTGTGCAAAGCTCGTGTTGAGCAGTGCACTCGCAAGGCACGAGAGCCGTGGACTTCACTACATGATCGATTTTCCTCATTTGGAGGAAAGTAAGAGGTTGCCGACAGTGATTTTCCCGAATTCCCATACAATGAGTACTTGGAGTTCACGACAACTGCACCAGAATTCGACATGTTAGTTCGTGGTCTGGTTATTGCATAATAGTTTATCATGTATCACTGAA